CTTATACCTAAGCTCATCCTATATCTAGAAGCTTCGCATAAGAGTCTGAGTCTGCAGCGCGAAGTGTCAGCCTAGAAGCTTTGGTGCTCGGCCGGCCATAAGCTTAGTCTCGGAAGCTTATCGGACGGTTCCCTCGCACGCGGTGCACGTGGGTCTTATCGGACGGTCACGCGGTGAAGCAGTAACCCAGACACGTGTCGTGTAGTGATTCGATATATCAAATAAGTCGATAGCGTATAATAACGGACGATGCGCGGCCGCGAGTTTGGCGCGCAGCCAGAAGTCGGTGCGCAGTCGTGCCGTTACAACATGGGCAATGGCCATGAGCGGTGGCAATTGCCGACAAGGCTTCTTTGAGCAGAAAAGATGCAATCTGATAGATATAGGCGACACATCTCCTCAGTGTTGCAAACCTCTTACAGACCCAGATTTAGAAAAAGCCTGGCCTCTGATTGGCTGAAGAACCTGGGATGACCTCGAAGGTTTTCGGTCGACATGCAACCTAATATAGTATTCTTACCAGTGTTCAGAAGGGAAACAACTTCCTCTAGCTCCCGTTCATTGAAGTGATACTCAAGCTTCTTCAGTGCCGCGCGTAGCTCCACGTTGTCCAGCAGCAGCTTGGCCAGGTTTTCCAGGGCGCCGTTCGTGATTTCCTCGCCCAACCGTGTCTTGCCAATACCGGGACCTCCTTGCCACGGCGACGCGTGCACCTCTTCGCGAGGGATCCGGCGCGTAGCGTAGAACTCGTTGGTGCGCAGCGTGGCCATTAGCTGCACAGAAGGTTTCTGCATCACTGATTCTGACACACTCGACGGCAAGAAGTGGGCACACTCTTGCCGAGCCTCCAAATTGAGGCTGCCTGCAGGCTTCTTACTTTCACAGAGGAAGGCACAACTCTTCAGGACCAACACGGCACATCCACAGGCATTTTAGTACAGATGCTTCGTGACACTCCTTTGAGAGATCCAAAGAACAGGGACATGATGGAGAAAGGCCTCCAAAATTCAACTATAAAGCTGACTTACCTCTAGGAGAACTTCAATGAGTTCAGCTTCTCTGCCCACAAAGCTTGAAAGCTCTGGTTCTGGGGTTACTCTCCGCAAGTGTTGCAATAACACCAAGTGGACGGACTTCAGATCATGACAGGCCGGCAGCCTGACATCGAGAGCCAGCAAAAGTTGGGACCACTGAGGAGGGAGAAGTGCTGAACCGCCATTGAAGTGCAATGGCGAAGGTAAGCGTAAGCTATAGACTGCAAATCACTCTTTCTTCTTCCGCAAGTATGAACAACAACCTCTTCACCTTCTCCATAAAGAACTGCTTGTTTACTTCCAGCAACAAGCACTATAGGAGGCAAAGTCATAATGCACAGCCAGTAAGTCCAACAGACATCAACCATTAGAAGTAACCATTTCCTAGGAGTCTCACCTTTTAATGATGCTCTGGGTATCTTTTGCCCTCAGGATCTTCTACCACAGGAAAACCGCCCTTCTCAGCATTGCCGCTTGTTCTGAGAGCTGCTACAGCGTGGATTGGGAGTCTGTTCGGCAGCAGACTGTGTCCACTCAGACTCACAGAATGTGGTGGTAGTCGTTTGATCTTATGTCCACAGAGCGGCGGAAGTGCACAACTGCGCAAACATGCTGCAAAGCGCCCCACAGAAGTCTTAAGTCTGCAAAGGGTTGATGGCAAACTCTTCAATCCTTCAGAGCAGGAACATGCTTGCAGCATCTGTGTATCCATGGAGCTGGCTAAGAAGAACACTCTAAGATTACAACTTTGAGGACTTGTAGTTGCCACTGCAGCAGCGACTGTTTGGAAACCTGCACTTTTCAGCTTAGATCTGAAAGATCCACTTTCCTCCTGATGGTGGCTAAGCTGTGAAGCTGCATCTGGTGGGAAGCAGCCACCGAGGATTTCTCAAGCTTCACTGACATTCACGAAGATAGCGAGCTGCACTCGATTCCTTCAATGCTCATTGCCTCCCTCGCACTCAAACCTGTGCAGTGTGGACGCCAATTATGAGTTTGCTGTACAAAGGGTTTCTCGGTATCCCATATCCCCCATATATCAGGGCTTCAAGCCTTCACCATTCTCACATCTCAGTCGATCGATGAGGGGAGCCCCCATCTTCGAGCCGTCTTATACCGTCCGATGGGGGCCCGATGGGGGTGACATATAACACCAGGAAGTTTACTTCAACTTTCGGTGCTTCAACTTTTAAAACTCTCAATGACCGTAGAGGACGATATATCGGCGATCAATATCGGGTGGCCGGACGAAATTGGTAGTCCCCGGGCGGCTGTCAAAGGGAAGCCCCGTGCAACACTAAAAACCTAGGGTAAGTGGCCGCATACACCCTAATGTCACAGGGAAGTGCCCGGTTGACACCAGGTTGCCCGCGAGACCCTAATGTTACAGGGGAAGGCCCGGTTGCTTACCGGGCGGTGTGCGAGACCCTAATGCCGCGTGGGACTTGCAGTGCTGGAAGATTTCCACCGGCTTCTCGTCCTCTACGGTCAATGGAACTTCGAAAAGTTGAAGCACCGAAAGTTGAAGCAAACTTCCTGCGCATTGACATTATGACTGAATGCTCCCTGCCAACCGCATAGGTAAATGTCAACCCTAAAGTCCGCCGGCGACCTTATCTGTAGATTTAGCTGACTGAGTCGCCGCCTTCGCCCACTTGTGCAATGACACTTGTACTCACATGGCGCCTCAATTGGGGAAAGATGAGAAGGTTGTGTCAACTTGAAGGCCTCCAGGGCCAAAGAGCGCGGGACAACTTGAAGGAGGTCACAGTTCGACAGTGTTGAAAGGTGGAAACTTCAATCTGATTGGTCGACAAGTCTTTGAAAGTTGGATTTCATTGACGGGAAGTATCGTCTCACGTCCGGCAAAATGCGCGCTCATATTGTGCTTGGCATGATCAAACTTTTACTGCCGCATTGCAAACTTGTGCGCGCGCATACTCTCCTCTCGCGGCACTGGGGCAAGAGGCACAAAGTTGACGAGTAAAATCTTGGAGAATCGGACACGGACGCCTGCTGCGGACGCCGATAAAGTGCTCGGGTATTGCCGAACCGCACGAAAACCCTATGGTCAGTGGCTTAACCGTTAATAGGAACCCTAATCGGAGAGCAGTCACACGGGAGGGACGCGACCCTAACAAACCGTCACAGGTAGTGGCGTAACCCTAACATACCATCACTGCTTTTAACTGCTTTGTGACCCAACCTAAGGTCACTGATAGTGCCCGGTTGCTTCTGCGCATTGGCAAGGATGGGTACCGCACGTGATGTTACGGTTGGTACCATCCGCAGCCATTGGGCGCCCGGTACCGTCCGGACAAAATTTTCTCAAACTTTATTCATCAACTTTGTACGTTTTGCGGCACGGGGCGGACCGATTAAGTTCCGTACAACCGCGGCCGAAAGCCGCGGACCGGGGTCACGATTTGGCTAAGCTTGGTCGACGTGGTCCTACAAAAACCGCCAATATTTCTCATCCGACGGTTTAAGGCGCTCCGACAACATGGGTAGCGTACCCCGGAAGTGCGGAAGGTTCCAACTTCCAAAAGGGCCGCGCCTCGCATTATGCAGCTCGATCTGAGCTCTATCCAGTATCCTCAAGTCCAATTCTCAGACTCCCGGCCAGAGCCACCTCAGAAAGAAGCGCCAACTTGTAGACTGAGAAGCTTTGCAGAGCAGCTTTCAGAACGAGACAGCTCAAGTTCTTTGAGCGCTGTGTGTCTTTTCGTTTTTCCTACTTCCATCCTCTTGTCATTTGCAACTTATTCACTTCAGTAGCGCGCTGGCAAGTACTCTTCCAGCCAAATCAACAAGCCCCTTCATCGCACTTCTAGCTCCTTGAGCTTCCGCCTTCTACTATACAGCAGCGCCGTAATTCATTCTCTTTCTTTGAGGACTCCCAGCAATGGCTACTACTATCGCCGTACTGTCTGCTGTCAGCACCCCCGCAGCATTTGTTGGACGAACACTCAGTTCCGAGAGCAGCCGCCCACGCCTGGCCAGCTCCTTCAATGGCCGCCAGCTGGCGCTTCCACGGTCAGCGGTCCAGAAGGCGACTGCGCAGAAGCAGGTGAGCTGAGCTGGCACTTATTGCAAGCACAGGTTATGCGCCAAGTTCTGTTTCTTCATGGAGTCTAGCCGCTGGTATTCTGTGGTGTCGGCCTGACTGGTTAGGTTCATCAAATATTCGCTTGGGTTATTCTAAACATGGTTTTATCCATTGTGGCCCTGAGCCCTTTGAACCAATACGCGCTGACTGTCCAGGGCTTAACAGGGAGAAGTACAGGGGCAGATTTTCTACTTTGTGTGATGAATCTCCCCAAGCTGCCCACTTGAAGGTTGACGGCAACTTCTAGGTCGCAATCTTTGTTCACAATCTCTGGAGACTTAGGCCCTTGAAATCTGTGTTGGCAAGACTGGGCCAATTCTGGATTGGACAGGTCATTTACCTCATCAAGCCACAGTACTCCCATTCCATACTCTGTAACCTTTGCCTCATACTTGAACATGTGCCAGCATTGTGCACCTGGACCATTATACTGGGTAAGAGGACGAACACGGTCTGTGAAGAGGTGCCTTTCAGAGTGGCTACTTGTGACTCTGCTTTACTACTCTGAACTTTACTACTTTGAATATGAGTAAGATGGTGTTCTTGTGACAGTGTGCAGTACTTCTTTTGAGTCTTGCGGTGCTACCTTTGTACCTTTGCTGGTCAGCCTTTGCTGGTCGACCTCAATGGTCTCTATTCATACACATATCTTTCATTCTGTCGTTTCATGTGACAGGTAACTCGTTAAGTACCGAGGTTTTACAGACTGACATGGATTCGTGTGGAACTTTGGGCAGTTTCTCGCATCTCCTACGCAGCTTGTTGCGGGCTCCGGCAATATATTTCTCCTTCTTGTGATGAAGGGATGTAGGATATTTCTATTTCACCTTGGTGTCTCCTTCTTGAGTGGATTTCTTGCTATATTGTTCCGGTCGACAGAGACATCTCATTCACCGTTTCGCCTCTCCCAAACAAGCACTCTATTCACGTGGGTATCTTTCCACTTCAAATGTCTATTTCCTCTGGCTACAGTGTTAAAATGTTTTTGCTCAATCTATCTTTCAGAGTACTGAGTTTTTGTTTTTCACTCTTTCCCCAGGCTGCTGCTGGTCCACGTGCTTTCCTCGGCGGCCCTTGCGGTCCCCGCGGCGCTCGTTACGGCGGCCGCGGATTCTATGGACGCCGCGGGGGGTTCCCATGCGGGCCTCAGGGCGTGGTAGTCGTTCCAGTACCCGGCCTCGGCACTTGGCCCGACTACTCCCCACCAGACCCCGAGCAGTTTGAGGAGTATCAGAAGGTGAGTCTTGAAAGCATGTGACGGTCATCCGATGCTAATCTATTGCCTTCTGTTGTTCACCTTGGTGCGCTGGGAGGAAAGAAAGGGACAAAAGTTTTAGTCTATGTTTAGTCTATGTTTAGTCTATGTTTTAGCCTTGACAATCCGACACGTTGGACGGCTTCCAGGAGTGCAGCTCGTCGTGGGGATTGGAGTCGACAAACCTGGCCTGTTCTGAAGACTGTTAGTAAAAAAGCATTCTTGTTTTTGGTGAACAAGGTTCCGAGGTCTCACTTTCACACCAATGAATATACCAAAGGATCCCCAGGATGTGTACTGTTGTAAGCAAGTTGTCTTGCTTTGCAGCGCCAAAAACCGGCCTACACAGGAGGGAGCACCGCTCTTTTGGATTCGCTCAAATCTTTGCGCACCAAAACGTCGACACTGGTTGACATCATTTGCGTTTCCTCCCCCCGCAGCGCCAGAAGGAGGCCTACGAGCAGCGCCGGGCCGCGTACGAGGAGCGCCGCGCCGCGATGGCCGAGGAGGCGCAGAAGCGGCGCGAGCTGCGCGAAAAGCAGGCCGAGTTCTTCCGAAAGCAGCAGGAGGAGCTCGCGGCGGAGCGCGAGAAGTGGCGGAACGACTACTGGAACCGGGGCCAGAGCGCGCAGACTCAGACGACCGAAGAGAAGAGAGCTGAGACGCCAACGCAGGAGTCGGCGGCTGAGAGTGTGAAGGAGAAGACGACCCCGGAAACAAAGGAGCCGGAGGTGAGGCGGGTCTCAGAAGCGGATTGCAACGCTTCTTTCAACTCCTGCTTCGTTACACCAGCTTTCTTGGCCTTATGACACTGGGTCTCTCGTCGTTTGAAGCAGTAGGTCCTTTTTTACTCCTCTGTCAACCATTGAGCACTTTTCTGTTCACATTCACAGGGGGAAACTTTGCATTTCGCGAAGTGTATCAGGGGATTCGCTGTGATACGCTGTGCATGGCAGCACCGCCGAGATCTGGAAGGGAGTCAACCATAGCCGTGCTTAACCTTTTTCTGCCTTCTGCCAGGCTCCCCCCAAGTACCCCCAGAGCGACACCCCGGTCCTCCATCTGCGCAACGAGGCGAACGGGGCTGACCTCACCATCGTCGGCACCGCGCACTCGTCGGAGGCGAGCGTTGACGCCGTGCGTCGGACCATCCGGGAGGAGCAACCGGGCGCTGTCCTAGTGCAGGTAAGGGGCGGAAATGGATCATCTGCTCCGAAGAAGGTTTCTGCGGGGATCAGCTTTCCGCCGGAATCCTTCAGCAGAACAAAAAATGCTCACGTCGATGGACCATATAGCAGCGGCGCAAGTTGCGACGCCTCTTTTTGCTTAAGCTTTGCATCGTTTTTCGAAGACCGTTGGTGAGGTCTAGCAGAGTTTGGTCGTGATACATTATCTTCAGCCCCAGGCCTACAAAACGCATGGGCTTCGAGGTAGGTGGTAATCAGGCCGCGTCAGTTTTCTGGTTCTCTGATAATGCGAGCCCAAGGGCGCACGCGCTCTTATAATTACCCCAGACTGATTGCAAATGCCAGTTACTCGATTCTGGGGTACGTTTTGTGGATCCGATCTGGTGCATCTTGAAATTCACTATTCCTGTCATGAGACTTGTCGTAAGCCTGTGTGGAGTGCTCTCAGTTCCTTGAGCTCAAAATAATAAACAGTAAAAAGACCAACATAAAATTGACCTGCTCCGCATCCGCACCCATCTTTTGAACCTCGATACCAACCTTACCCCTCTTCGGCCTTCTTAGAAGTTCACATAGCCGTAGCCCCAATGCAAGACTTATTCAATCCCGGTGCAGCTGGACCGGAAGCGCTACAACCGACTGACCGCCGCCAGCCCGGAGCAGGCCTTCTTTGAGGATATGCTGCGGGCGTTTATGGGACCGGTTGGCGGTATGGTCGGGGCGGGGTTCCTCGGCTTCTACGGGATGCTAGCGTACCGGGGAATGAACGTTGGGAGGGAGCAGAAGGTGGGTGTTTCGTCATTTATGACAGAATTCTACCTTTTTCTTTCTTGATCACGTTCGAGCTCCCTTTCTGTCGCTTTGTGCGGTCGGGGCGGGTTCACTTCGGTTTGATGGCATGCTGGGCTCTCGGGAATAAACGGTTCTAGGGAGCTTGTCTTCTGTTTGAAGGTCCATATTTCTTCCGCTTCCTTTTGAAGCGATTTACGAAACAATCGTGAATGTTTCAGCCGGCGAATGAAGTCTTTAGTCTCGACATAGATCCGGAGCTCAAGAGGGTTTCAAGGCATGCTCACCTAGCACGGCCGGCTTGAATAAAGGCGTTCAAAAGCGCGGCGCCGTGAGCGAAACGCATCATCGAGACTGATATGCTTCCTTCTTGTTCTTGCTCATGCGCCCTAGTAAAGGAACCTGTCCGTTTGGCTTTGTGCTGTTCGCACCTGTCTGTTTGATGACAATCGACCTGTCCGTTCAATCACACTACCGTGCTTCTTGTGCAGCTGTTCGAAGACTCTGTTCATTGCTCCCAACAGACTTCAACAATCTTGCTTCCACGTTTGCGTCAAATTCATCCTCGGCGACCGCGCGACCAACAAAGCGCCGATTATTCGTCCCAAAACCTTATCCAAACCTCATCCCAAACCCCTCCTAACTTGCGTCTGATCATTTCGCAGGTCGCCATTCAGGAGGCGCGGCGCGCAGGCGCCAAGATCATCCTCGGCGACCGCGCGACCGACGAGACGATGCGCCGCGTCGAGGCCGCCATGTCTCCGGCCGCCATCCAGAACTTCTTCGCGCAGCCGTTCCCGCGCGAGATTCTGGATGACGTCACCCGGGAGATGGGCGGCGGCTCGTGGGGCGCCGCGTGGGGCGTGGTCGGCGGCGGGCCGGTCACGATGACGTGGGGCGACGCGCTGCGCGACCGGCGCGTGGTGCGCAAGCTGAACGCGTACATGGCGCGCGCGGCGCCGGAGCTGTACAAGGTGAGAAACGGTTTCCTGGGTTTGACAAGAGTAGGAAGAATCGGCGGTGAAAGGTGTTGGCCCCACCCATCTTTCTGTGTTTGATGTCTACTATGGTCGTGGTTTTGGAGTTTTGTTTTTCATCTCCACTATCTTGCTACAGTGTTCAAAAGTTACTGTATGGGTGTCGAGCTCGAGCACTCCATCGGACCTTTTTGTTGCCTAACCTGCTTTCCGCATAGCTATTGCCCTTGTGGTTTTCGGTTCCCTTGTCGTCCTTCACTCCGCGGTGGTCAGGCACGCAGTATGGTCTTTTGCGATGCTATTGACGACACTTTCCCGCATCGACGTCCGCTCATTTCCCTCCGCTCGCGCAGGTTCTGGTGGAGGAGCGCACGGCCGCGCTCGTGCGCGCGCTGCGTCACTGCGAGGGCAAGACCGTAGCCGTCGTCGATATGAGCCACCTGGACGGCATCGAGCAGGCCTGGCAGCAGCTCAACGAGACCGCGCGCACCGACAGAGAGGTGAGCGCCCCACACCACGACATTGAAAGAATCAAAGGAAGATTCGCAGTGTCTGCTTGACCAATCCTTTACATTTGCATCTTGTCTTCATATTTCTCGTTAGACTTTCCCCACTGCCCACTGCTAAAAGCTGGGTAACTATTGCACTGCCAAAAGCTGGGTAATCCATTTTATATCAAGGTTCCGCATGGCATGGCCATGTTTTTGAGACGCTCTGTGGCGCCGCGCTGAGCACGAGAAGGAGGGGAAAATGGGCACGAAGAAAGACGGAAGAATGAGGTTGGCCTGAGCCGTTTGCTGGTTTCATAATGCCTTGTTCGGTCCTTCCTTGCCGCTGATCTTAGTTGCTCATTCTTCATGCTTCATGTCGTGCTGACGTGTCGTGAGTCCATACTGCAGGCGGAGGTTGCCGCGGCAGAGAGCGCGAACGCGGCCGCGGAGGTGCCGAAGGCCGAGGAGAAGGCCGAGGAGAAGGCTGAGGAGAAGGCTGACGTGGTCGACGTTGACGTCATCGACGCCGTCAGCAGCGAAGAGGAGGCGCCGAGCAGCGAGGAAGAGGCGCCGAGTAGCAAGGAGGAGCCGCGCCTGGCTGACCTGTACTCTGACGTCATTGACGGCGTCACGGGTGACGAGGCTGAGATTGCAGAAGGTCAGGAGAGCACCTCCGACGCTGACGTCATCGACGGCGTGACCGAGGAGGGGCAGACGGACGCATCTGGAGCGGTGGCTTCAGCGGAGGCGGAGGCGGCCGCGCCGACCGCGCGCGCAGAGGGCGCAGAGGAGCAGTCCGAGAAGACAGCTGATGAGAGCTCGTCAGACGCCTCCGCAGAGAAGCGATCTGATGCCGGTGAAAAGCGCGAGCCGGAGAAGCCGCAGGAGAGCTAATAGTAGGATTCGATTTGTAAATACGAAGTTGTAAAGCTTAGTCAAATTTGTGAATCATAGTGGTAAGGGTAGCGCCGCCAGGTTCGATACGTTGTCATAGATATTGAAACGCTATTGAAATAGGCGAGGTGTAAAAAGGCATTGTTGTGACATACAGCGGGTAAAACATGAGTGGACAAACCACATATTAAAAAAGCTAGATGAAATCAAGGCTTGCTGAAGAGCTTTACGTATAGAAGTCTGTACGTTATTGAGACTCATATTCTACCATTCATTGCCTGTTGATTGACTCACTTGCACGTTGCGGGATTCTCGGAAGATCGAGCCAGGTACGTCAGATTTCGATTGCACGTTGGACGATCATGCATGCGAGCTCTGTCAAAGAGTCGGCGTTCAGTTTCTTATATTAGGCCTCGCCTCAGCCCGGGGTCCGGCCTGCGGCAGAGCAAGACGGTCTCTCTCATATACCAATGCTTTGTAATCAAATTAGAGCTATTACATGTATGTAATCCGTACAGTCAAACAAGGCTCAGAGTTCAAGTTTACAGTGATCGTATATATATAAGGATGTGCATGCACATTCGATCGCCGATCGTCTCTGGCAGAGCAAGACGGTCCCTCTTATATACCAATGCTTTGTAATCAAAAGTTAGAGCTATTACATGTATGTAATCCGTATATACAGTCAAACAAGGCTCAGTTCAACTTTACAGTGATCGTATATATATAAGGATGTGCAGTCGATCGCCGATGTCTGGCATGATGCAAGCCGCGGCGCGCCTATAGAGGGCGCAGGGGGCTCAGCAGCAATCAAATCAGTCTGATTTTGTGATCAGAGATCTGTAGAATTCTTTTTCACGGTGGTGGTAAGTATACATGTGCTTGCGATGATAAACGCGTATACATGCAAAAGTACATCGCGCGGAATCCAAGCCGCAAAAGCCCAGTCGACTGAGTACCATTTCAACCATTTGCGCAAACAATCAAAGGGCTGACGCTTGGCACGCCAAGTGTACGTCGGTAAGGCAGACTAAACGGCACAGAACTGGCTAGGTATTTTGCCGATGTCTGACCACCTTATACAGTCCAAGAGAGGGATGTGACTCTCCGTCTCCAATTTGTGTCACCGCGTGCTGTATCGAGTGCCTTGCAATGAAGCCTTTGAATCAAGATGGGCCCCTTCCATTGTACTTTCGTGCGTGCAACGTGTTCAACAGAGATTCGGGGTCTCTTTCCCTGAAAGAAGCGCGCCTATCGTACATCAGAACATTTCAATTGCCTGGCCTACTGCTCGGGGGTTTCAGACAACCCGTTCTGGCTTCCATTCCCCTTGCTGTCCAGCAACATCGTCACAGGTCCGTCATTGACGCTGTGAACCTATTAGAGTCGAGAGTCAATTGTTCAGTCAAGCGGACGCTAAGAAGCTCCCGAGTCTGGTACAAGAGCGGAACCAAGCCCAATCAGATGCACAATGGCACGGCTCTTTGTTCAATTGCGTGCCTTCTTACCTCATTGAAGAAGCTATTCTGTTGCTAGGCTGAAGGGTAAAATCTGCCACATAGTTCTTCAGCCGAAATCTGCTACATACTTTACGCAAAGAGCTTTCAATCCTCCTGAGGCAAATTCGCTTTGAATCGTGAAGTTCCATCTCCCTGGTTGACACAGAACTCTTTGGCGTCTTCAACCGATGAAGAACAGTTCTGAGCATCTGACCACGACTCGGTATGGTCTGCAAGCTCTTAGTATCGAGTGCGCAAACTCAAAAATACAAAAGCCAACAACCCACAGCTCTATATACTTTCCACCTCATGGACCATCTGATGGAGCAACTGTTTCAAACAAACTAAGATCCCTACCAGAGACCGAATGACAGATCGCGAGATCCGATCGAGACCAAAGATGAATGCTGAGACAAAAAACGATGATGAAGAAGAAGATTCGTCAGACTGGCCCCTATTCGACCCACCTGCATCATCGCCCCGAAGATGCCGTCTGCAAGAAGACAAAGACACGATTATTAGCGTGTTGCACTAAATTTGAGAACACGGTTCTTAAATGGTGGTCAAATTCCATCTACTCAGAGAAGAGCGGAGTGCGAGACGCGATGAAGCGTGGATTCGAGAAGTGCCAAAGGTCAACCTGCAACCCCTCCCCAGTAAAGCGCACGAACGATTCTCCACGTCACACTTGTCTTCTGCACAGATTTGTGACAGATAGCAGGGGTCTAAGCGCTGCTTTCTTACGAGACTTCACGTAGCGACTCGCCAGCGTTTGCACCTCAAGGTGCCATTTCTTCAGCTATCCAGTATCCATGGCACGGGGTTCTTGTTGATAACGGGCGAGACGAAAGATTGAAATAAATGGATTGATACCTTCATGTGTGCGCACGTTGTTAGAGGATTTTCAATGTTCAAGGCCCAAAACAGACAGGCCCCTGCAGACAGCTTAACGCGTTTGGCAACGGGAGGAGCCAGTTTTGAAGCACACTCCACCTCTCAGAACAAAGCTCTTTATCTCCCTCGTTTTGTGAGACAGCTATCTGGACTTCGCTCGAGAAACTCTCAACTCTCGAACGAACAACAAGGCCAGATGATCGACGGCCGAACTCTGACCATCTCCGGCGCGTTCCGTCCGACTAGTTTTGAAGCATATTCTACTCAAAATACAGCTTTTTATCTCTCTTCCTGTCAGAGAAATATCTGGACTTCGCTCGAAGAATCGAGTTTCGAACAAACAACAAGGCTGGACAATCGACGGCCCAACTCGGACCACCTCCGGCTGGTCCCCCCCGTCTCGTACTTCTACACCCGTTTAGACCTCCGAAAAAGGGCTGACAATTTTCGCACAACAAGGAGTTCACTAAAGCCTACGTATTCGGACGTTCGGACGGCCCACCTTTGACCATCTCCGGACGGTACTCCCGCCGCACCCGCTCGACAAAACCCTCGTAGAACTCCTTGGCGAGCTGCGGTTTCATGGCCACGTGGAAGTCGGGCTTATTCCCCTTGAGGAAGCCGTACAGTGTGAACTGGCTCACGAGGAGCACCTCGTACCCCCGCTGGGATACGCTTTGGTCCCAGGCTTTGCCCTTTTTGACGTCGTCCCAAAGGCGCATGTTCAGGATCTTCCGGGAGCTGCAGGAAAAGATTGTCTAAGTTTTTTAGAGTTACAGTAGGAGGGGATAAGGCAATTCTTGCAAACAGGAAAACCTTCGATCCTGCTATTCCTGATTTGCGGGCCTGAAGAGATGTGGATATCCTCAAAGTCGAGGGAGAAGGGAGAGGAACAGAGAAACAAAGAATCACTCTACCATAGGGAGACTTTCACGTCGTGTCAGCAGTAAGAAGAAGGACTACCAGTAGAAGCGAGCATCTGAGGGAAACGGTCAACAGGAGTAGACGGAACCCTTCCTCACAACGAGGAAGGGGTAGACGGACCTAGTAGGTGTTGGTTTCCTTTAGAGCTTATTCCTCAGACTTCGTCTGTTGTGAAGTAGGTGGGCTCACAGGAACTCTGCATCGCTGGCCGTGTCCGTTTCCAAGATGCCGACGAGCACACACAGGCCAGGGCCTATCTGAGAGACAATCTCGCCACCAACCTGCAGGGACAGGAGGATGAAAAGGTCGTCTCCTGGGGCAGGAGGATGATGATGTTTTTCTTGTAAGGCAAAGAGCATGGGCCTACACAAGTCCGAGTCCCAGCAAAACAGTGCACTTGCTTCATGTGCCACTATCCACGTTCAGGCATTGTTGCAGAAAGGGAGGAGAGCATCTTGGAGGAAGCCGTTTTGCTTCCTCAAATGGATTGCACAGGCACTAATCTGTTGAGTCTGCTGGACTGTGGTGTGCAGAACGTCCCCGATCCACTTTGTCAAGCCCCAGAAGCTGCTTAAGTTGCCAGTCATATGTGAGACTTTCCTCGCCGCCTCGGAGACCTTCTCTTGCAATCAGGGGAAAGCTCCACAGCGAACGAGCCGAGCCACCTCTGCCAAGCCACCTTTCCTTACCTCCACTTTGGCAGAGACGACTCGCTGCACCACCGCCCGCATCGTGCGGCCCAGCCTCTGGGGATTGTGTCAGCTGACTGAATAATACTCTTCTTGCTTCCAACTTAAGGGTCCGGCTTGCTGACTTTTAGATTGCACTTGTTGACGAAACAGATGTGGACAGTGCTACGATCAATGTAGGCGGTCCAATTGAAGGTCCTTCTGGTTCAGTCTGTTTCCAGGGCTCCGATATGGGGAGGCCAGCTTGGGTTGTGCCTTCTTGCTCTTCAGAGAAGGACCACTGTGAGCGCTCTCCCGCCCAATGGAGTGAGCGCCTTCTAGTTTTGCCCCTGTATCGCTGTTTACTCCAGTTGGCTGCCTTCTACTTCATTGGCTGAAGAAGCGGTGTTATGGACATTAAGGTGTGTGATGTATGGTGGTGCACCGAGTTCTTGTCATCAAAGCTGCACCTGTGACTTTCTTTGCCAGAATTGTTGCTTCCCCAAGCAAATTTCGTTCGAGAGACCTTCAACGGGCGGCCGTCTACACTTTTCAAATTGTCACCAAGCAGATGGCATTTTGATTGAAGTTCCTGAGCTGTTGTCAACAGATCTAGAGCTTTGGCTCCAATCACTGGAAAGTATGGTGCTCAAGAAGTACCAGGGCGAGTGAGGCGATCAGCGCAAGCAATGCAGCAATACAGCAACCCTGACACTGATGTCACTGACATCAGAGCAATGCTGGCTCACACAAATCGGTCGGAAGATACATATTAAAAATATCTGCGGTAAAAGCTGCTGGAGGGGGCGGGCTATAAACGCTGGTTAGACAAGGTTACAAGCTAACCGACAACCGCGCCTGCTTGTCCATGCCATAGATGACAGCGAGCGAAGTAACCAGGTAACTAACTACAGTACTTCTGCTTATAAATCTTTATCCAATTATATTTGGATATTACTATGTAAAAAGTACGGTAATCATTTTCCCGCGCAAAATGCCACCAGCTTTGGCGCCCTGGCCCTGGGATGCTGAATCCTGGATACCTCGGAGTCGAAGGGCGAAGGGCAAAGGGCGAAGGAGGCTTTGCACTTGCAATCCGCTTTCAGTTGAAGGTTTCTCAATGCGTCCATCTCCTTTCATTACAGAATTACAGAAGCAAGTACAAAGTTGTGAGCAAAGGAGTGATGCAAAGTCCTCGGTCACCGTGGTGTACTTGATTGGCAATTGATGGGGCATACACACGCCTCAGCTTAAGCAAATAAAAGTTGTGATGGCGTCGACACGGCTTCTATGCAATCAGAGCTTAGCGGCTTTGACGCCGTTCACTCGGGGCTCGCTTGAGCAGAACAACCAAAGACTTCACAGCGCCGGGAGTCCTTGGCATCCGTGTAACATCAAAGGCAATCATGGTGCTCGGCAGTTTTTCAAGAGGGAGAACTGGATGGGGAGCAGGATCAGCAATCAGACACAAGTAGCTGAGCAAGGGCTGTTCAGGAGGCGTTGTAGAAGAGCCCAGCCTTTGGGAATTGCACGCGCAACAAATGCAGCAGATGCTGGAAGGGAGGATGGTGGTGATGAAGGAGAGGTGAGGCTATGAAAGAACCTGGTTCCCAAGAATCAAATTCTCAAGCTTTATCACTGTAATATCAAATCAGGCACACGGCTATGTGATCTTGGTAATGGTGTTACGAGTCTTGATTTGTGATCCCCAAAGCACGAGAATTGCGATTCCTGCCTGTAGCTTGTATAAGTCTCAAGAGCACTAGGGCTTAATAAATTTGTTCAGAGAAAGAAGGAAGATTCTTGGCTGAGTGGAAAGGTACACCACCCAGACATCGGATCCATCATACCATACTGGAAACTTTATAAGAGTTGTAAAGACCTCTGGATATTAAAGCTTGGATTTGTTGATTTGGATCTTCTCGTTTGGCTCTGCAAAATGGGCTTTGTGGGAAACTTTGGCTTCCAATTTTTCCTTTGATAGAAACCAAAGATCCATCGCATTGATTTCGTGATCACATCACCTTTCTGCAGCAGTCCTTCTGGTGATGTAGATCACTGATGGGTTAATGTGAGGATGCCGCCTATTTGAGGGTCCTGTGCTTCTGAACAATATTAGTCAAACAAACAATGAAGGTTCTTGGACGAGTGGGAAGGTACACCACCCATACATCGGATCCATCATACAAAACTGGAAACTCTATAAGCGTTGTAAAGACCTCTGGATATTTGAATCTTGGATTGTTGGTCTGAATTTTGTATCGCTCTGCAAAATGTGCATTTCAGGGAACTTTGACTTCCAATCTTTCCTTTGATGGAAACCAAAGATCCATTGCACTGATTTCCTGATCACACCGTCTTCTTGCAGCAATCCTTCTGGTGATGTAGGTTACTAATGGCTGATCTGAGCATGCCGCCTATTTGAGGGTCATGTGCATTTGAACAAAATCAGTCGTATTCATATATTCAAATGTATGCCACTGTTTCAGCTCCCTAGCAGCTCGACAAGCACCGGTTACCCATGTCCATGCTATTTCAACAGGAGTGCACATTTGACGTTCATCCCATCGATTGCAGGAAGAGGCCGAGGACGACTATGACGAGGAGGGCTTCGACGATGATGCAACATTCGAGGAGGGAGACTTTGACGAGTTCCTAGAGGAAGTCGATGAACCGGAGGGTGAAGGGGGAGAGATCCTGGAAGAGGCGGCATTGGGCAGCACTGAGGACCGCTTGGGGCCCTCGAAACCGTTGAGCGGCGTCAAGGCAATTGAGGTGGGGCTAGTGGACGTTGTGAAGGACGATCTGGATCTGGAGGAAGCCGAGGAGCTGGGGACAGTGGAGGAACTAGAGGGGAATGAGGGTCTCATTGCAGCAGATGAAGGTATGTCTTGTGCACAGCTGATTGGGCCCTGAAGGACATGTGGTTGTCAACCAGGTTGGGTACTTCGAGTCACTGATCCTGCTTTGCCTTCGTGTTTCAAATGTCTTTAGGGCCATCCGAGTTCAGGCTCACAGTTTTGGGTCTGTCAGTCAAGGACGGATGGATACAAGCGGACTTGTACTTGTGTCGTGCTTATCATCCTGGGTCTGAAACTCTCCATGGTCCGGCGTTGAAGGCTTTCGGTGGGCGATGGGTCCCAACAACCGTGCTAGACAACTATAGTCATTTCTTCGTGCACTCGATAGAGCGTCTCTTTCTAGATCTCTTATTGAAGATAATGTCAGGTCTTTTGAGGTGGCATAGCCAGAACCCCGCCTCTTTTTGCTTCCATCCATTTAGTTCGTGGGCTGTCCTGTTGGTCTTTGATTGTTCCCTTCATGAGGTCACGAAAGCGTCCTTGGAAAGATTGGTCCAGATTGCAGTTTCAAAGCGCACCTGTGAAAACGATGCAAAGCACATGATTCGATCGAACTGTGGCCCAAAATGTCCAAGAAAGACAGGACGCCAAAAAACAGTCTTGTGGCTCTAAGCTCCGGCAGGTTCAACCAGAGATGTGACGCCTTCCACTTGCGCTTTCTACAGAGGATGACGTGGCAGAAGCCGTTTACACCGAAGACTACGAGGAGGATGCTGGAAGCAGGGGGGAGCTGGTCGAGGAGGAAGAAGACGAGGGGGGGGCAGCCGCAGCCCGGGAGCAAAAGTATGCGGCGCCCCCCCTGAACGCGGTGAACCTGGACGTGAACCAGAGCGTCAGCTATCTGGACGACGACGCACTAGACGTGGAGTTCGATGACGCGCAGGAGCAGTTCCTGGACGAAGTGGAAGAGGCGGACTACACGATTGTATCCTTGTGACGCAGCTGCATTTCCTTGCAGTTTTATCCTTCAGCATTTGGAAGTCTATCCAGTTGGTTTCCCATGATTGGAAGCTGCTTCTCCAAGCATTATGCATCTGAAGGATTCCACATGTCCTCCACGATTTGTTGCCATTGGACTGCCTACGTCTGGACGTCTGGTTGAATCCTAAGCTCGGGCTCTTGGTCCTTTGAAAAATCTGGACGTGATCAGACTGCTTCGTTAGACGGCCCTTTGTCTGTTTGCAAGCCGATCTTGAGCGACTGATTCTCCACGGATCAAGAGTTACCCGGCGCCATAGACTTTTGAATGAATTGGCCAACAACTGCAAAACAAAGATAGATTCGAAGTGTGTCTTTCGTATTCCGAACGTCAAGCCTTGACCCCCAAGCAGGCACTGGGCGAGCTGCTAGAAAACGCCGGGGTCAAGCCTATGCTAATAGAGGTGAGCAAACTGTTCCTGCATTTAATTCATTCACTTTGCCTCTGAGAATCAGGTTAGAGTCTGCTCCGTCCAGCCTTGCAGCTATGATATGGGCTAGGTAGCTTCCTGTAGGTGCGCCATGCCGTAACGCTGCACCGATCGCTTTTCCAGAAGACCATCTCTCGTCGTCCGCTTGTATCCGGAAGCTGCAACTTGTTAAGTCGTTGAGCTGCTGTGACTTTCATAACGTAAGCCTAGGCATCCACATCTTGGAGTTGAGCTTCTTAAGGATCTACGAAGGGTTGCGGTTGAGCGACTTCGCAACCAGGGAACCAGAGGGCACTGTGTCTTGCGTGCAAAACGCTTCTCTCAGTCTCTTAGAGTGGTTCTCAATGATGGATGCAGGGTGACCTGGACGTGGAGGTATTTGGAATTACGCAAGACTCGCGGCAGGTAAATCTTCTGACCTACTCTCTAGCTTTTGAAGGTGTGGCCAGTGTTTCGCTTCGAGACTCTGGACGCCCTTCTTGACGTATGTTTGGAAGGATGAACGTGGTTTGATTTGTGTTGGGATCCGTAGGGTCAGTACCTTTTTCCGTATACAGTGACTTTGAAATTCTTGGGTCCTGGTCGACAGTCGCCTTCGTTGACGGCTCAAGGGACTTGCGGTGGCATTCGTAAACAGTGCAGGAAGCGAAGCGCCAACGTTTGTTCACTATTCTGAGCGAGTCGCACCGTGTGCACTGCATGCAACTAAAGGACCCCTCTGACTGTTCTGTCGCGGATACTTCGAACTATCTTCGTTGGACAAAAAGTTGTGGTCGGACACGGTTTATGGCTCTCTCGAAGAGGAGCGGTTTTGTAAGTAACAGCTTGGAAGTAAGGAACGTTTCGTTGTTGGATGAAAATGACCGGCTGTGTATCAGGTAGACAGACACTCGGATCACAGAAAATGAGAATGGAAGATGCCTGAAGCCTAAGAAAGACGACAAACGGATGTCCTGCAAACGCTCTGCAGGTAAAGGAAGGGGACCTGTTCGTCTGTATAAAGGGCTTGTCAACGGATGGGCACCTGTACGCAGCAGAGGTAAGATCTCCTTTCGCTCTTCCAACCTGCTTTGAGCTCATAAAAGATCGGACGTCTCCCAACCGTTTGTTCCAACGCTTTTGATATCTTTTTGCAACGCATGCTCAAGGTGCAATAAACCGCGGGCTTTGTCTCGCTGTTTCCTCTATGCTGAATTTAAAAGGGTTTACATCTCTTCAATATCGGACAGGCTGGAGGAATCAAAGATATAATCCAGCGTTATGTCCATTTGATTTTATTTTGACCTCCCGCAAATTTTGACCCGCCAGCCGAATGAAAAGCGGAGCGTCGAACGTCCACATGCAAAAAGTGCATCAGAGAGTTTAAATGCCAACATACTATCCCCATCTCGACTTTCCAGAGACCGGAGCATTATTGAAGAAAGCGACGGAGGGTCCATTGATGGACGGAAGCAATTCTGATGAAATCTTCTTCGAATTTCCTATACAGGCGGTAGAGAAAGGCGCCAGCGCAGTGATTGCGAGCGAGGAGGTCCTGGTGGGAGCTAGCTGTAAAGCTGTGGTCCTAGTAGAAGACACAACAGGTGGGTGCTTTGTTGGGACCCATGTTCCCTTGGTCCTTATGCAGGGTTGGAAGTGGGGCAGAAAACCACTATGTGGGACATGTACACAAGCTCAAGAGAGTAAATCCCACTTCTAGAAGGGCTTTCTGGCGACTGTTTCACGTGTTCCTGCTCGGACGGCAGCTTAAGACGCTAAATGAATTATGGTCCAGTAGTAAATCTGCTTCGCTTCACCACTGTATTGTCTTTGACCGTCAATCTCTCTGTAGGCTTGAGCTTTGGAGTATGCTTGTGTCGTAGGCTTTCTGGGGACTACATCACATAAGACCTTGTTTTGGCTTGCGTGGTCGGTACCCTGCTTTTTGAGACTTCGCCCTCTCAACCCTGCGGGCTGTCGCTCTTGCTCCAGATCCTTTCTGTGCTGGCCAGGCCCCAACTACCCTGACCATGTCGTTAAAAGGAGTCACTCGGACCTGCGTGCCTGTCCAGCAAATATCTTCTGAAACGTGCCATAAAGTCTGAGCGGTGGCTTTGCTCTTGCCCAGAGATCCTGTCCGCGCTGGCCGGCGCCTTCTACCGGGAGCCGTCCAAGAAGCTGACGGTGGTCGGGATTACTGGGACCAATGGAAAGACTACAACTTCGTACATAGTGAGGTGAGAACAGCTTGATATGGAAGGAGACCAAAAGCTTGTAGCTTTGCGATTGTTCTTTTCTTCGGGTGTTCTTCTTTGGATCCTTCGCATTGAGTATCTAATAGCGTCTTTTTACTGGTGTTAAAGTTGCTCTACGTGCGCGGAGTCCATGATGTATGTTGCCGTCTCTTTTCCAATCCGGAAAAAGGTGGCTGTCTTAAAAGCGTTTCTTCTCTCATAGCGCCGTTTCTAAAAAACGTCTACAGACAAGGCTTCACGTTTTTGCAAATGCGCGTGCCAACGATATTTTTTTTCACCCATGGTGCGTTGTCGTCGGGCAGCGAGGATGGTTGCAAGCTGGCCTTCAGATGGCTACCGAGGATTCCAATGCCACCCATTGATGCTGCTATTCGAACTTTCTGGTTCAGCCGTCTGATGTTGAGCACCGTGAGAAGAATCTTGGATCTCGCATTTGAGCCCATAGCGCTAGTTTGCGAAGTTTCTGAGTTCGGTTACTTCATGTTTCTCTGCTGGGTCCGAAGAGATTGCGCGACGTTGACGAATCGTTGAGGATCTTCAGAGCTGCACCTGCTTTCGGGAGGTAGCGTTTGATAAGCGCTCTGCTTTGCGCGTCTGTCTGTCAGGGCGTGTCTGCGAGCGAACGCTGCTAGCGAGGGTTCTGTTTCGCGCATTCCTTAGAGGACTTAACTGGCGCTTCGTGTCAAGCACTGTGCCTGGGCAGCACTTTGAACGCAACGATACAGTCGTTGAGATCAACAATATTATCATGGGGGTTTTGCCTGGTCTCCTGGACAACGCCGCCATGATCTGTGCATGTGGCGACCACGTCAAGCTGCTGGGGCTGGAAAAGTGGATTGCTCTTTAATCAAGGCTTGACAGTTTTCCATGATGCCGTGTCAGTTCTGGCAAAGATTTGTTCTGACCGAAAGAGCTGCTTGACTCGTCAACCTTGACTCCCCCTTAAGTACGTTATTCTCGGCCTGGTGCTCGATTTGGTTGAGTGCGTCTAAAGCCGTTCGCCTTGGCGTCCGCACTCGGAAGACAGCTAGTTGCGCGGTTTGTCTTCTTCCCATGTTCGAGTCTGCAGATCAAAAGCCGGAAAAGAAACGTCTGACTTGCATGGGTGCTTGTGCCTGTATTTCTGAAGGAGAGCAATCACTACTCTTGTACAGAGCTGATGCAGGCATGCTACACTTCGCTTGCAACCTTCCTGCATAACGAGGCTTCTATGTTATGCTAAGCACTTTCACCGGCAGCTTCAGCATGCTCTTGGTTTGATCCCATCTTATTCGTTGTTGAGCAGCAGGGACGAGTCTGATCTGCTCAGTCCACCGGCGCAGTTCCCCCTTGAGGACGCCCCGACGCTGCATTTGACCAAAATCTGTTTGATTCACTTTGTGCAATTGTCTCACGAAGCGGAGCCACAGCAGTTTTGTGTGACCGGTCTCAAGGTGACCGGTCAAACGTGGCGTGTTTTTGGTTTGGTGCACGTTGCCAGATGGCCTGATGTCTGTTCCGCTTTTCTTGCCTTTGTCCATCTGATCATGGTTTCACGTCGCTAGGACGAGTTGAAAAGCTTGTGGCACCCCTTGTGTTGTGCCACACGACTCTTGGGCTTGCCGATGCGGAGGTCTTGGGCACCTCATTGCCCCCTGTGAAAACTGCGCAGTCTGGAGAGGGGCGAGGATGTCAAGCTTTTCGAACACAGGCGTCCTTGCGAGGCATCCGCCAAACGGAGTGCTCGAGCCTGTCAACCATGCATGATTCTCACAACATCTTCGGATGCGAAGTGATTCCAATCCCGTCAGTATCTACTGTGGCTGCAGTCCCTTATCAGTGGCGGTTTTGGCTGTGGACACTGGTTGCTCCTCCAGTCTTCCTGTTTCGTCGAGAGTGCTCCCGCCAAATATTGTCCCGGGTGGTTTTGGACGCACAGGTCGATGAAACGATTCGGTCCTGCAATCCAACCGATATTTCGATTGCACTCCGGGTCCTGGTTCTATATCCTACGAGAATAGGCTTTAAAGCAGACGTTTTCTTTGAGCTGAGTAGCTGTCTTGCCAAGGCCTTGTTTAGTTCTTGTACTTTCAAAGCAGGCGATTAATGACGAGGCTTGGCCTGCTTGGAATGCCTTTATCAACCGGCTTTGAGTGGGTTCATATGCACCCGCCTTGAAGTAAGTGTGCCCCTATCTACATTCGAGTCTTCGAGAGTTTCTTGGGCAGTCAACCGTGCTGGAGGCTACATTTCCTGAGGAAGCTCGGATTTCTGAAGAAGACCTTGCTCACTCAAGGCCTTACTGGTAGCTCGTCTTTGTGCAAGAGCCATCCCGATTCAGAACAGCAGGCGCAGTCTCTTCTGTCGCTCACTCGTCACTGAAAGCGCTTGGTCACTGGTCAGAAGGACCTACATGTCAAGAGCAGTTTTGATGCCGCAATCATGGCACCGCGTGCCAGAGGAGTTGCTTCGCTGACACTGCAGTATGTAACCCTACGTCCTGGCAGAATGATCGATCAAATACTGTTGGTGTTCAGGACGAGCTTTTCATTGCCCCTCGGATCAAGCATTTGCGTAGCGACGCTGAGGCTGAGTTGTTGAGACCACGTTTATATTTCACTGTTTCCCTCACTCGACGGTGAATTCTCTCGACTTGCCTGTTCTGGATCTGAGCAGCTGCAGCTAGGCTATTTCGTGACCTTCTTCTCAGCCAACTGGCTTGCTGCAAGTGTTGTGGAAAAGCGTTAAAGAGCTCTTTCATGCACAGTAGTCTCTTGTGTTTTCGATGCATGCCTGCCACTAAAGTTGGACAATATCAAGCGTGAGCAGCAAGGACGCTGTCAGTTTGACGCCTGAGGCGGCGCCAAGCGAGTTTCAAAATGGGTTCTGAAGCTGCGCTCATTATGATGATAATGATGAACTCTTGCGTTTGCATTTTTGTAATCCACAACGGATCGCAGAAGTTGGACGGGCGTAGAACGCTCAAAGTAATTCGCTCTTTACGGCAAGTGCCCTTTCAGTATCAGTAGCGAAAGTTTTGAAGGCAACCATCATGCTAGGGATTTTGCTTTACTTTCTCTTGCTGACGTGAAGGTTACTATTTTTAAAAGCCTGAATCCTCGTTTCCTGTATGACGTAGGCAAGTTTGTGACAAATTCGCACGATATAACGGGTGTGCAGCAGTTCATCCTTTTACCTTTTAGTCCATTTGCCGGCTGACTCTCTGCGCGAGCTTCTTCATGGTACGGCTACGCCGTTTTGGGTCTACGAAGGCCATCTCTCAAGTTTCTTACCGTTGGTTCCATCGAAAGGATCCCATTTCAAAACAAAGCCGCAATGACGTGCGAAGAGTGGCGCCCGATGCAGGGGTTAGCCACGTCGGGGTTTTCTGGAATGCTGCGCAAGGCCTTTTGAGCTCGTTTTAAAGTCGAATTCTCCGCATGAGTAAGGCAGCGTCCTTCTTCGTTTACTGCTTCCTTTTAATCCCCTCGCTTCTTGCTCAAAATTCCAGTTAACGAAATCTGCGGAGCAGTCAAGACTTGTTAAGGCACCCCTTAATAAGCGTGAGGTTGAGCGAAAGGCACGATGCTCCCTTCGCACGAAGTGACTGCATCTCTGCCACGCTACTGACAATCTACACTTGATTCGTCTCCAGGGGAATCATTGAAGAGATGGGGCAGCAGACGGGGCTCTTAGGGACCATAGCGTACTACGTTGGAAAGAAGAGGTGAGCCCATTCACAGCCTTCAATTTGTCGCCCAACGGACGGAGCAGAACGGCCCTCTTACATCTTGTTGGTCCTGGTTAATGCCCATTGTGTTCATCCTATTCAGTCATGCTTGCCATCCTTGTCTGCAGCAGCACCTTCTCCTCGACTCGGCCAGCTCGAACTTTCTTGCAAGCAATTGCCTGCTTTTAATCTGCTCTGAGAAAAATGCAACCTTTTCATTGAGAAGCCAGCCCCGTCCAAACGTCTCCAGGTTGGACGCCCCAAACACGACGCCGGACGCCATCCGGACGCATTCTACTTTGCAGCAGCATCTCTACCTGAACTTGACCAACTTGAACTTGCTTGTAAGCATCCACCCCATTCTTACCTGCTCAAAAAGCAGCACATCAGCCGAATCAAGCCCCCTCCGACGCCTGCAGATTGGACGCGCCAAACACGACGCCGGACGCCATTCGGACGCAGCAGCTGATGGCGACCATGGTGGAGAAGGACGTGTCCGCGTGCGTCATGGAGGTGTCGTCGCACGCGCTGCAACTAGGGCGGGTCAAGGAGGTCGACTTCAACGTAGCGGTACGTACCTCCGGCTTCGGTCTCCTAGTTCGAGCGCTACTTTATTCTGCTGCACTGAGCGCCAGTCAGTGTGCTTGCAAGTGTCGAACAGAAGGAGGCCGTGAAACTCCTTCGGTTCCTGTGCAACAGTCACTCTAATCGTGGTCTGTAGTCATTGTAGTGCCACAGCAAAGTCGGTGTGTCTGACGCTTGACGGGCGGACTCTGGATGTTTCTCCTTGGAATGCACCTTGAACGAGGGTCCGTCGAGCAGTGATGATCTGTCTTTGCTTATCAAGCATTGAGCAACCAGAAGCAACCCGAGTCCGGAATCCAGTTTAAAATTCTCTACGTCCCCCCAACACTGTGAACCCGTGATTGAGGAGCTTGTTGTTGGAGGGCCAAGAACCAAACCTGAGGCTTTCTCTTGGCTGCAGGTGTTTACTAACCTGACGGAAGACCACCGAGACTTCCACGGGAACATGGACAACTACCGGGAGGCCAAGGGCAAGCTGTTTGCGAAAATGACGGATCCGGAGTGGCATCGAAAGGTAAGGCCATTGACTCTTTTTAGTAAAGAGTCATTTCGGAGCTTCGGCACGTTCGACGCTGGCCGTGTCGCGGCAACGTCCGCTGACAGTGAATCCTACCTGCAAGATGCATAGGTCGCGGCAGCTCTTATCAGGATACATGACGTCAACCCTATTGATTCTACTGGTTGGGATGCGCGATTCGACTCCTCTTTCTTGCTGTTCTGATTTTCGAAGTTCCTTGATGGCGGTTTAGCAAGTGGGTGGGTCCCACTCAAGACCTTTGAACTTTGTAGCCAAAGTGGGTGCCTCTCGAGGCCTTCGGATTTTGGAGTCAGGACTCTGGATCCAAGCAGCTAACGGTCCCGGCAACTCTTGCCGGGACGGCTTCCCTCACTGGTCACAGGAAGGCTCTGTTGTTTCAATTAAAGTCACTGAAAACAAAACGCTTTCTTTTTTGCTGCAGGTGGTTAACATAGATGATCCGAACGCGCAGTGGTTCATCAGCCAAGGAAACCCGGTAAGCTTCTCTTGCGTACGGAGTCTGCTTCAGTGCGATCGAAAGCCGACCCTTGCGTGCTGAGCTCATCCAAAAAAGATTTCGTTGTTGGCGTGGCAGCTTGGTCACCCCTGCTTTGCATTCTTGGACGCATTCTGCTGTCAGTTGTTGCCAGACCTTCATCCTGGGTGAGTCTTGAGTTTTTGTCTCATTTTGCGTGAAAAGGCTTCGTCAGAAGCGGTTCAATGTTCGCATTCTCCTTCAAATGGACTGAGGAGGAAGTAGACTTTGATCTGACTCGAAGCCTTCTGCCTCGTTATCTGCCACTCAAGATTCGTGCTAATAAGTCGCTGACTTCGACTTCGCTGCCGTTGAGCGTTGCAGAGACTCCTTTCTCGAGCGCACTCTCAACTCGTATCATAATCCGTCGTCATTTTGCCCTCCCTGCTCAGTCTGCTTTCTGACTCAACGCTTTTTCCAAGCAGTGTCCAAGGAAGTTCTACCGGAAAAGCCACACGCAGGTGGACATTGACGCATGATCCCATTGTCCTGGATCTGGCAAGCACTGCATCCTGCTTAGAATTGTTCCTGATTCGCTGCTTGATTTCCTTTTGCAGGACGTTCCTGTCATCACGTTCGCCTTGGAGGACGAGTCCGCCGACGTCTACCCGCTGAACGTGGTGCTGTCGCTCTTCGAGACCGAGCTGGAGATCCGGACGCCGTACGGCAACCTGCAGATCTCAAGCGGGCTCCTAGGTAAGCTCACAGACCGCAGGAAAGTCGGTTCCGGATGGAAATGCTTTTGAGTGGATCAGATGCAAGGGACGAAAAGGTCGTTTGATCCAGTGTCATCCTGCGCCGGCCTTGGCGTACCCGTGCTTGAGACGAAAATGGACTGCTTACGACTCCGATCGTGCACAGGCATTGACCATGCCTAAAACATTTCTTTAAGCCGGCGTTTGAGGTGGCTTCTGGCATGCTGCCAAACTGCATATCAAGTCAGGTCTTCCTTTCCATCACTCTCGCCTTTTCGAGTTTTGGCTCACATGCCCTATGAGAAGATTCGTTCCTGGAGCCAGTGCCTCTTGGGAGTTTTGAACCCTCTTCCGAACCATTTTCCAAGTTGTGTTCGTCCATTGGACGGCGACCAGTCTGCACCGCTCCGCCGCACCAGGTCGCCACAACTTCTACAGCGTGATGGCCACCGTCGCCGTCAGGTTGGCCATCGGTGCACCGTTTGACGCTCTCGAATTGTGAATCCCTTCGTTGAAAGGCGACCAATTCCCCCGTTTTCTCGTACCAGGTCGCCACAACATCTACAACGTGATGGCCGCCATTTCCGTTGGATCGGCCATTGGCGCGTCGCTGGATGCCATATGAAATCATCTTTTCAAGTCGCAAAGTCCTACGACGTATCGTGATTGGCGACCAATACGCCCCGCTTTCTGTTATCAGGTCGCCACAACATCTACAACGTGATGGCCGCCATCGCCGTCGGATTGGCCATCAGCGCACCGCTCGACGCCCTTTTGCTCTCATCACCAGCAAGTTCACACCCTTAAACCCCCTAACGTTCGTTGGACGGCGACCAATCTGCCCCGCTTTCTTGTGCCAGGTCGCCACAACATCTACAACGTGATGGCCGCTATCGCCGTCGGGCTGGCCATCGGCGCACCGCTCGAAGCGATTGTGAAGGGCGTCGAGGAAGTGGACAACGTGCCCGGGCGGATGGAGCTGATTGACGAGGGGCAGCCGTTCGGTGTGATTGTGGACTACGCGCACACGCCGGACGCGTTGGAGCGGCTGTTGGATACGGTGCGGGAGTGCGGGCCAAACAGGCTGATCACCGGTGAGCATCTCGAAGATCTGGATTCCTAAACTACTGTATCATATTTAGGAGCAGGTGTTTGAGAGCGTTGGTGGATTATGCTCCAAACCAAACACTAAAATCACCTCCTATTCAGAAATTATGCTCATTTGCCAGACGCGCTCGAGCAGTTGTTGGGTACGGCGCGGGCTTGCGGGCAAACGGGCTGGTAACGGGTGAGCATGTCGAGGTTCTTAGAGTTGGATAAGTTCCTAGTTCTGAAACTTCTAGGAATTGTTCATTCAGGAGCGATTTCGAACTTCCAGGGTTCTCGCGGACGATTGACGCCTTTTTGTTGTGCTAGTCTGAGCTGGTAGGTTCGGTGTAGCGATGCGGAGAGCTTCAGCTTCAGTGATCTCGAGCATTTCCTTCGTGCGTTTTGGAGATTCAAAAGCTTTGTACGCCTGCGGTTTGGGGTTGCAAGAGCAACTAACTTTCAAGGGCGCTGAATCATTGTGTGCTGAACCAAGGGCAAGTTGTAGCGTTCTGACCCCTAATATACGCATGAGAACCAAAGGGAGCCGTTTGGAAGGTGTTGTTTAACGAAGCAATGGGTTTCGAAATCAAAGACACCCAAGTTTTCTCTTTCCTCTGAGGCCATCCAGATCAGTACTTTCAATCCAATCAGTTGCCCTTGACACTTGAATTGGGCCACCGCCCTAAGATGGAGCGCGTTATGGGCAAAGCTCACGGTTTGGCGTTTCTTGGCAGTCCTTGGCTGCGGGGGCGACCGCGACCGACAAAAGCGGCCGGTGATGGGGAAGATCGCGACGGACAAGAGCGAGGTGACCATCTTCACGTCGGACAACCCGCGGTCGGAGCACCCATGTGAGCCGCCAGAACCCATCTTTGTGAATAATCTCCGCTTGAGCGAGGTGTTTTTTTTTCCAGATTGAAGCACCTTATCGGTTTGTGGATGTTGCGCTTAAGGTGTCTGCGTCTACAGAGCGATTTCCAGATAGATTGATGTCTCGAGTTACAACACCTGCGCAAGAATTTTCTAGACTTTGACATGGTCAGTCATTGAAACAACTATTTGTGGCCCATCAAGCTTTGTTGTTCAGAGTTGAACGCAACGACCCCTGGTTCGATTGAACTCCGGCCGTTAACCAAATCATGGCCATCATTTCAGACCGACATAGCGACCCCTGACCGCCGGCAGACCAGATTATGGGGGACGTACTTACTAGAGATACCAATCCTTGATATGTCTGCCCCTGCCCGCAGACCGAATCCTGGAGGAAAGTTCAAGGGCTTCGGCTGAGAGTTAGACGACTACTTAACCTTCGAATCAGAGAAGGTCTGTCCAAGCCATTTTCCTCAGCTTTAACATAACGACCTCTAATGACCTCTGATTGCCGTTGCCCTGCCCGCAGACCAAATCCTGGACGACATGTTTAAGGGCGTCGGTTGGGAGCTGAACGAATACTTGACTTTCAGGTCGGAAAAGGACTGTTCGATTGTTTGTCTTCAGAATTTATTATGATGGCCCTAAGATTTTTGCTCCCGCCTGCAGACCAAATTCTGGACGACATGTTTAAGGGCGTCGGCTGGGAACTGGACGACGACTAAACCTTTGGTTCGGAGAAGGTCTATCCTTGCCTTCTGCTTCAGAGTTTGGTTTAGGGACCCCTGATCTGTTCCGCTCTCCATGCAGACCAAATTCTAGACGACATGTTCAAGGGCGTCGGCTGGGAGCTGGACGACTACCTGACCTTCGGCTCGGAGAACGACTTCTACCCGCAGCTCGGCAACGGACACCGCCTCTTTGCATATGACCACCGGGCAGTCGCGGTGCGATCTGCTATCGCCATGGCCCAAGAAGGGGACTGCGTCGTGAGTACTCTCCAAACCGCTTCTCTCTCAAGGGGCACACCCTTTGTTTCGGGATCCGTCGGCGACCAGAGAGTGCAGATTCTACCTCATTGGTCGCTGAAGCGGAATTCTTAGATGCAATCTAGACCGTCGGAACAGAAAAGTGTTTCAGGACGCAAATACCTGTTCATACGACCACCGGGCAGCTGCGTTGCGGTCGGCGATCGCTATGGCTCAGGAAGGGGACTGCATCGTGAGTGCTCTCTATAGAGCATGATGAGGTGGTGTCTCATCGAATTCTGCTACAATGAAGTACCGCAGAACAGCCACACTCCTGGACGCCACCGTGAATCGGTGGCAATGAAAGGACGCCAGAAGTCTGCTGCAAGTCTGCTTGAGAACCTGTCATTTGATTGCGAGCATGGTCAGCAAACTTGATCTCATCTGGGTGCGGATCGAAGTAGCTGTCCGCTTCGCGTCCCTGAACCTGGGGTGGAGGAGCTAAATGACCAAGATGCGCTCAGACCAAGGTCGGAAACACCTTATCTCACAAGAGATCTGCTGCGCTTCAAAGACCACTCCTCTCAACGTTCTCCTCTGCAGCGCTCCAAAAGCGAGCTCGCAGCGCCCCCCAAAGGAACCCCTCGAAACTCTTCCTATTCAAGAGCGAATTTACAATGAATCAGTGACGACGGATGCTGCTCTTTTTCACGGATCGTGGCGGGCAAGGGGCTCAAGACGTGCCAGATTGTTCGCGGGGAGCGCTACTATGAAGTTTCATGCCTGCCTTTAGAGTCCCTTCGCTTCTCCTAACTAAGAGCCTGCTATTCCTTCTTCTTCCATGAAGAATCTAAACTTCTTTGCAACAGATTGTGGCGGGCAAGGGGCACGAGACGTACCAGATCATCGGCGAGGAGCGCAAGTACTTCGACGACCGGGAGCACTGCCGCGAGGCGCTGGAGCGGTTGGACCTGCTGCGGACGTCCGGGATCGACAGCAGCGAACTGCCCTGGCGGACGGAGTACGGCGAATCCTGGGAAGACGAGGATGAGGACATTCCCAAGCACGACTCGGCAGATATCGCCATGTAGTGACGGAGCGTGAGCATCGAGTGATAGAAAGATAATGACGTAGTGCTGGCATCACTGCCCTTGGATAGTGAAAAGTACCGGCGAGTGCTGGGAAGAAGAGGATGAAGACATCCCAAAGCATGACCCCACCTATATAGCCATATGAACGACACAAGATCAAGAAACTTCGCCAGCAGCTATGAGCTGCCTGGTCCTGATTCCATGCCAAAAGGCAGTAGAAAGAAACATAGCCGTTGGAGAGAGCAGTGAGACAGTAACGGGGCGCCAGAAAAGAAGATAGAGATTCAGTCATCCCTGGGGCCGAGACGTTTTACTCTTGCTCTTATACTTCAGAAGGTCTCTCCTTCGCAACATTCCTTCACAAGACTGGCGTGTCAGTCTTCTTTGTGCTTGCGTTGCTTCCAAGGATCCCCTTCCCTTCGTTATAAACTATGCTTAAATCTTGGTTTTGTCAAAAAGGCCACTGAAGAGCCGGCGCCCGCGCCCGGCTGTGGCTTTGGCTTCCAAGCGTCGGGTCCCGATTGAGCGCTATGGACTTTGGCAGCCTCTGCAACATTCACTTGACACCAGTTGTGGCGCACAACTTTTTCACATCGACGAAGGAAGTTGATCCAAGACGGGGTGCAGCTTTCCGAGGTTGTCAGTCCACGAGCTGAGTGGCGGATGATTGTTTCCAGTGCAACTTCGCAAGGGCCTCGCCATCTTTCTCCGGTAAATCTGTGCCTGTTTATTGAGCGAAACTAGGATTGTCTCTGCACTTGCTGTTCAGCCCAGCATCATGTGGTGTCCATCAAAAATTCAGCGTCCCTTGTGGAAAGAGCTCGAGTCTTGCCGGTGGCAACAACTTTCGAACGTAGAGCAGCAAGGACGAGACTCTGAGGGCATTGGGTTCAGACAGGAAGCCAGCGCCTGACCGCCTCTACAAAGGCCGATGCTGCTGATTATGCTTTTGTCATAACTGTGCACACTTGAATTTCCGGCCACGTCTGGGTCCCCCGATCCCCCTTGCACTCATGGCGACACGTAACTAAGAAAGAGTCGGATAAGAGCATCTGATGCCCATAAGTGTTGACCGCTTTTGTAGACAGAAGTAGGCTAGACGTCCGTAATCATCACCGCTTTCGTTAGAAGTTGTCCAAAGTTTTTGCTCTGGAGCTGTCGAGCAGAGGATGTCAGCGTTTCATTCTCACGCCTTGAAAAGATCACTGTTCATTGGTTGAGTCGAGAATGAAGCGAGCAGGACGGACGCAACGTGGCACCCTTGAGGTGCGTTAGAATGCACGGATTGGCAAGCTGCAAAGCTCTTTGATGATCGAGGTGCTGACGCCGTTTAGCGGTTGACACGGCTGGTTTGGGTTTGGACTAACTTTCCCCGCGCTTGATACGCAAACCACTTTACTTGAAGCACCAAACGGCTCTTTTGTATTCTAGTTGATTCCGAATCTTTCACCTTTCCGAAGCGGTTCCGTACAAGTGACCAACTCAATCCTATGTTAAGTGACAGCTTCTTAAGTAAAGGTTTCGACAATGGATGCGGAAGTTTTGGGGCGCATTATTGCTTGGACCCTCTGTGTGAAATCGTTTGTAGCTAGCCTAGATCATTGGAAAGCGCATGCGCTTGAGTCCATCTGAAGTTCGAGGCCTGGTAGCTTGAACCTGTTATTTGACGGCCGACAGGGATGTTATGCTAGAAACTCGCATGTGATGCGACCCACAAACTTTTTGCTCACCGAATGGGAGCCTAGCAGTGTTCTTGGTATTCACCATCTTAGTCGCTCTCGTAGCAGCCATGATGCCCCAGTAAATGGCAACGTGTGCCAGTCCAGGTCACGTCGATCTAGGGCTGACGCTACTTCCGTGCCCGCTCTGTCGGACGTTTAGGACAGCACGTGAGCGTAAGGCTCGTGGTATCACTTAAGCCAGCGCTCGTGCTTGTCCTCCTCAAACCAGGCGGGACGACAAAGAATCTCCCGTAACTAGAGGTGGAGGGTAGAGGCCCGGCCCGCCGCTTCTGAAAGCGGGGTTGGGCCCCTGAGGAAACTTACGTTTGCCAGTGTGTTGAATAGAGAGTTGTCTTCGGAGTCACTGCGGAGGAGACTCGTTCTAGTCCTTGAATAGCAAGTAGATACTTGTTGCAAGTCCACAAGATGATGCTGCTCCTGCCCACCTTGGTTTCGTGTGCTCTAGCTGATATCTTTCTTTGCAGCTCCCAACAAAACTTGGCAAGTAGGGCTCGAAAGGGGTTGTCCAACCGGAGACCAGCTTTGGCAGCGGCTCCGTTCTCGATCTGTGGACGTAGTCGTTTAGCCGTTTCCCATGTATCCGCATCTGCCAGGACGTCTAGAGAGATTTGAAGGGCAAGCTATGATGCAAGATTCTGGTACCTTGTGCCAGAGTACATCTTGGTTTGATGCTGTTCTAAGTGCTTGCAAAAGGCCGCAACTTAAATCTACTCTCGGAATAGTATACGAGGCCTGACGGCTAGCGGGTTTCTTAGAGTTGCTCCCGCATACGGCGTCACTTCTCTAATCGGCAGCAGTTCGGTCAACAGGTCCCTTTGTCACACCAGCGAGAATACTAAGATGACGATTGACGTCTGCGACATGACCACTAACAGTTCCAAGAACGACGCTGTTCACTGCACCTTTTCCAAAGTCGTCCGTATCTCCTCGGTGCACTTTCAGGAAGGTCTTCAAAGACCTCACGCGATATAAGCGTTTTCAATTTTACATCCACAGATTGTGCGTTCTTAAATAAGAAGCCATGCGAAGGAAATATCATGCGCACGCGTCCAGTTGAGCCTGATGCAGGGTGGTCAACCGTCCTAGCTAGGACCTGACTGAATGATTCTTTTCTTACTAATTGATTTGCCCAGCTGTGATCAGAAGTTGGACGGTTCGACCTTCTACACGTCAGCATCTCCTCGTTTTCTGTTGTAGGAGCCGTGATGCCCGTGGAAAGCGACGCATGCCATTGGATCTGACCCGAAGTTTGGGCTGACGCTGTGAATCTGTGCTCACTCGTACGGACGCATAAACACATCAAGGGCGAAACATTTGGGTTATCACTTTAGATAGCGCTAGCTAGTGCTTGTGCGTCTCACCCTGAGCAGAGTGGCAAAGTGCTCTTTGCGACAAACGACGAAAGTTAGAGGGTTAGGCCCCGCCCCTCGTCAAGCGGTCTTGGCCCGTTGAGTTTGCCCGTTCGCAGCTAATGAGATAAGAGACCTGTCGTCAGATCACTTACGTCGTGAAACTGGTGTTCTTATAGTTTTATTTCGGTCTAGCTTAGCCTACCACCATATCTGGCCACTGTTGTGTGCATCCTGAGTTGAGCTGAATCTGTGCAGTTGATTAGTTGGGTTAATTGCACCCTTCCAATTTATCTTGGTTTAGTGCACTTGACAGGTCTCTCATTTGCAGTGTTCCTGATAGGCACAAAAGAGCTCTCAAAAGTAAGGCTTGACCGAATTCAGCTTCAGAGCGGCTTCTTGTTTTGAATACGACTGCAACCCTCTCCTAGCTGTATCTTCTGTCAAACTCTTCAATTGCCAACGGGAAGCTGTAAAGCTGCGCGGTGGTCGCTTGTGCCTCTCGCCCTTCTCAGAGCATATGTTTTTGAACTGTTGTAGAACCCCGCGACTGAAAACGATAGAATTCGTGTGGCTCAACTAAACTGGCCGAGAGACATTACCATTTTGCGTATCCGGAGAGACCCTTTGTTGGCTAGCGGTTGCAAATGGCTTCCGCATCGCGCCGCCGCAACTTTGATGGCGGCAGTATCTGTTCAACGGGTCCCTTTCTGTACCGACAGCAAGGATGAGTAACGTGTGGCATCCGAAGAGCCCAAGCCACACATTCGTAGTGCGCAGCAAAGATGAAGCTGTCCGTCCATACAAAGAATTGAACCTGGTTCGAGTGCACCTCCTGGTCCACCGCTTTGGTCGCTCATCCCGAACTCGTCTCTTTTTAAGGCTCAACCAAAAAGGGGCGTTCAGTCGTTGTTAGGCTCAGAACCACGAAACTCTACCAGCTCATAAATGAATATGAATCGTCCTGCAGCAGATCGTGCGGGTTGGAAGCAAGTGCTGACGTCGCTTCTCCGGAGGAATCTTGGAGGCCTTGTCAGTTCCTCTCTCGAAAGGCGTCTGAGGCGTGCCCCCTCTAGTTGATTCCATCAGTCAGCGGCCCACCGGGCCGATTGTTTTCCGTCAACCATTGCAACCGTGAAGGAAAGTGAGTGATTTGGGTTTCTTATTGTGTTATCGTTTGAGCTTGGCGTGCATTGAATCCGCAGCTAGGAGGACCCACTTGTATTCTAGACGTTGCCCACTCTAGAGGGGTACTGGTGAGTCCTGATGCTGCGGCTTCGTGCATCCTCAAACCAGCGCCCACAGTCAAAGAAGTTGCTCTCCGATTGCCTGAACGAATAAGACACGTTCTCACAGCCAACCTTGATCTCCTGGGTCGTTCTGTCAGAGGTCTTCAATAGAAACACATCATCGAAAACCATACACACTCCTGAAAATGAATTCTAGCGTACCGGATTCTTGCGCAAGCTTCCACTCGAAGCCTTATGCACTTAGCTTCGAGCTTTCGGTGGTTCGTTTCAGTACTTCGTTATCTTTTTAACGAAGCAGCCGTGATGTCAAGGTGACTGGCAATCTCCGCCAGGCTTCCTTCACCAAGACCTGGGGCTGACGCTGTGGATGTGCCCGCTCGGATAGAGATCTCAGGACAGCAAGTGAGCGAACGGCACATACATCTTTCCATTGAGAAAGCGAGGTATGTATTTCTAAGCTAACACACAGAGCGCCCGAGCCAAACGTCGTCTAAATTGATCGACGTTGCTCTCTGCTTTTTGCATGGAATCTGCATGATTTTTGAGGGCATCTCCGAGACACGCGCTGACTCCTAGTAAGCCAATCAACCTTTTCACAAGATACTCCATTGTGGCTTCGTCCTACGGTCAGCTTCAGATCCACGAATTCCAAATTCTGTTAAAGTCACCAATCACAACTTGCGGCAAACTATGCTGCTTGATAAATGCCACCACAAATCCTACAACAGAATGCGCGGAGCCTTGACGTTTCCACTTTCGAGTGTTCTGGTCTGAGGCGCGGCTTCTCTAGTAGATCCCGTCCCGCGAGGCCATCGGGCTAATCAAAAGCCCGTCAACCCAGCGATTTCAGAGGAGGGAAGGAAAGTAGGCCAATTGGGCTTCATTTGTTCGTTTTGAGCCTGATTTTGGCCGGATCGATATCAGGACCTGCTCAGAGTCTGCCAGTGACGGTG